AACCAGGAATAGGTAAAAGTGTTCAAGTAAAAAATTTAATGTATACATGGTCATGGAATCTATGGAAAATACCTAATGACTTTTTAGTATTAAAGATTCTTTTAAGAGATGTAAAAAGAGGAAATGACATTTTTGATGAAATAGTTGAACAAAACTTTCAAGGATTAGATTACATTAATAAAGATTTTGTTAAATCAATGATTAAGGAAAAGTCTAAAGAAATAATCATCTTTTTAGATGGTGTTGATGAATTCAATATTGATTCTTATAGTTTTAAAACCTTTATTTATGATCAAAACTGTGATGTACAAACTGTCTTATGGTCTAGAAATTGGAAAGCTAGGCAAATTCAACACAACTGTGATCTTATCTTTCATTTAAAAGGATTCGATTTTGGACATCTGCTCGAATTTTTTGGAAAATGTTTTAAATATGGCAACCAAGCCGAGATTTTCTTTGAAACAGTCATTGATAAAAATACAACACTGCAAGAATTTTGCAGAGTTCCATTTTTAGCTATGATCATTTTTCACTTGTGGAAAGAGAAGGGAGATCTAAACAATATGTCTTTATATAAATTATACAAAAATATTGTTGAACTTTTACAATCAAAGAGGAAAATCAATGAAAATATTTTAGATGAAGGTTTAAAAAATAAATTTTTTAAAGGTTGTCTTGAATTTTTACCAGAAAATACAAATAATTTGAAATTAAGTGAAGAGGAGATTAAAATTTTGGAAAAAGTTTATGGAGGTTTATTGCATTTTATCATAAAGAAAAATAGTGTGGATGATGAAGTTGAAGTTCAATTTTATCATCTTTCTCTTCAGGAATATTTTGCAGCTAATTATTTAATAGATAAATACGAAATGAATAATATGGAAGAAGCTGATAAGGTTTTAAGTCTAATGTTTGAGAAATATCCTCAAATGAAACTATTCAATGTTCTCAATTTTCTGAGTGCAAAATCAGTAGAGCTTGGTGTAGAAATTTTAACACAATCCAAATATTTTGAAAAAATGAATAAAACAGAATGGATTTCAGACAGATTAGATGACTGTAACAATAGATCTTTGCATTTGAATGATGAAGAAATCAATCCATCTCTATTTCAATTTTTAGTTCAAAATGGAAAACTATCTACACAAGAACTGCAATTTAAAGCATGTACTTTTTTGAACTTTGAGTCATTTTCAAAATCTCTACAAATGTCACAGACAATAACAGATGTAAAAATATCTTCCAATTTTTATATACCTCCTATCTTTCTTCCAGAAATGTTAAACTCATTTTCCAATGGTGGTATTCTTTCTTTTTTCTCACTTGATTGCTTTGACAAGTGGCGTATTATCATTTCAAGAGTTGAAGAGAAATTTTTTTCCCTGACTGTTATTCTTGATCAGATGATTGATGATATGCAAAATTCATTTGATAAATCATTGGAACAATGCCAAATGTTAAAAGCTTTACATATTGAAATAAGTAACAAATGTTTAAAAGTTTTAAATGGAACAGTTTTAAATTCATTTCTAAAGACTATACCAAAACTTGAATATCTTGACAATATTCATTTTTCAAAACCAGAATTTGGAAAAAAATTATTTTTGGAAATATTTAAAAGTTTACCAAAATCCATTAAAAAACTTTCTATTGAAACATCTGTCTTTAAATTGGGAACATATTCATTACTTTGTGATTCTATGACTAAAAACTCATCGATTGATGGTTGTCCAACAATTAGTATTAGTATAATTGGATCAGACTGGAGTTGTAAAGATGTGATTTATTCCATTCTCTTTGAAAAAGATGTCTGCAAAACTGAAAATTCTTCACCAAATATGAAAAGGAGGAAAATAAATTCTAATTTTAATGAATATATTGACATTTTTTTTCTCTTTCCAAAACCTTGTGTTAGTCAAATACCTAAAATTGAATTGAAGCAGGAAAATTATAGTGGCAATCATATTTACTTGAAAAGAATTGTAGATCACGAGATAATTGATTGGGAAAAATTATCAAAATCATATATCAGTGTTAAGTTTTTGGGTTTATTAAATAGTTTTGATTGTTTTTATTTGTCAAAAATCTTGAACAGTCATGATAATTTAGTAAAAGGAATCCTGCTAGGAGATTGTAGAGAGATGGAAAATAATGGTTTTGAAAAAATCTTTGAAGGACTTAAACCATCCTGTAACTCAATTTCAACAATTGTATTCCAACATTGTCCAGATTCTAATTTTGATTATTGTAATGTGATTGGAACTCTTTTAGAATACTGCTCAAACTTGTCTGCTTTTAAAATGTCCTTAAATCAAGAAACTCCTGGTGAATTTAAATGCAAAAGTGACCTGAGAAAAATAATTGATGGCTTACAAATATCATGTATAACACTAAGTGAAATTGTTTTTCAGAAATTTTCCATAACAGATCAAGATGGATATTTGCTTGGGGAATTATTTAAAACATGTACATCTTTGAAAGAAATTAACTTGGAGGAAAGCAAATTTTATGATTCAGCTTTAGATAGTATATTGTTTGCTATTGAAGATTGTACAGAGAATTTAGCATCATTCAAATATAGTTCATTCTATTTAACTAATTCTCAAATTGACAATTTAGAAATCTTAAAAAAAAAATCTAAATATTTCAGTGAATTAATGGAATGATTTAAAAGAGAACTGGCAATAAATCTTTGTTTCTGATTATAAAACATTAAAATTTAAAACCCCTCTTTGTTAGTTTATTCAAATACACTTTAAATCTTTCAATATGCTTATAAAGTATTTAGAGTAGGCCTACAAAAACATATAATTTTTCTGCTCAAATATGTTTCCTATTGTTATATGCACAGTGTCCAAAAAATTTAATAGGGAAGATGAACTATCTGCAAAAATTATCAATTTCTATGAATAGAGACAAATTATTTTCTATATTCAAAACTTTTTTTCTATTTAAGAAAATATGTAAATTTTTAAAGGATAGAAGAATAATTTCTAGTGAAAGTGAACAAGAATTTTGTGAAATTTTTAAGAGAAATGACAGCAGAGAAATGGTTATAAATAACTTAATGGATATATTTCTAAAATTAAATTTTGATTCCGAAATTTGTAAAATTTTGAAGCAATTGGAAAAAGAAGAAGAATTAAATATTTTTGATGAAATATCAAATTTATATAAAAATTGGAAAATGTTTGTTGACAATGTAAAAGAATTGAGAAGAAAAGATTCTGCTTGTTTATCGCTCTTTACATTCACAAATAATAGATTTATTCAATTAGATGAAATTGTTGTTTCTATTGAAATGAAAAAGGATAATTTAAAGAAACATCCAGATTTAGAACAGAAAATCATCTATTCAAATTTTTTTCTAATATTTGAAAAAGGCTATTCAAAAGTTTTAGTTAAAGGTCAACCTGGAATTGGTAAAAGTGTTCATGTAAAGAATCTTATTCATACATGGGCAAATAACAAATGGAAAGACATTGAGAAAGAATTTCTCCTCCTTAAAGTAGTTTTAAAGAATGTTGAAAGGAATAATGATATATTTGATGAAATTATCAGGCAGAACTTTGAAGGAATAGACTATATTAACAAAGATATTGTTGAATCTATGATAAGAGAAAAATCTAATGAAATAATACTACTCTTGGATGGTATTGATGAACTCTTCTTTTCAGATTATATTACCTTTAACCAATTTATTTATGAAGGTAATTGCCCTGTTCAAACTGTTTTGTGGTCAAGAAATTGGAAGGCAAATGACTTTCAAAATTCTTGTGATATTATTTTTGAATTAATTGGATTTAATGGATTTGATCTTACTGATTTTTTCAACAAATGTTTCAAAGACTTTACAGGAACAGAGCTATTTCAATTTAAAGACTTACAAAAAAATCCTATGTTGATGGAATTTTGTAGAGTACCTCTTTTAGCAATGATAATATTCTTTTTATGGAAGGAAAAAGGAGAAATAATTGATATGAAACTGTTTCATCTTTATGAAAATATCATTAAAGTAGTGCAATCCTTTAGAAACAAGGATCACAATATCTTGGATGAAAAGTTGAAATTAAAATTTTATTTTAATTGTTTAACAACTTTATCTGACACTACTCAAAACATACAACTGAATAGTGAAGAATTAGAAATTTTAGACAATGTCTATGGAAATATATTACATTTCATACCAAATAGGAATTCAACCAATGAAGAAGTTCAAGTTCAATTTTATCATCGTTCCTTTCAAGAATATTTCGCTGCTATCTACATTATACACAGTTATGAGAAATTAGAAATTAATCAACTCGATTCCGTATTAGGTGATATTTTAGAGAAATATCCGGAAATGAAATTATTTAATGTACTGAATTTTATAAGTAGCAAATCAGTTGATTTGGGTGTAGATATTCTAAAGGTGTATAAAAATTTTGAAAAAATGAATCATACAAGTTGGATGTCCCAATTGGATGATGTTGAAAATAGATATATCAAAATTTCTGATGGAGAAATAAATCCAGCATTTTTCCACTTTTTAGTTGAAAATAAAAAATTAAAGGCAGATGGAATTGAATTGGAAGATTGTTCATTAATAGATTCTGAATATTTCTCAAAAACCTTGCAAATATCTGATTCAATTGAGGATATTGAAATTTACAATGAAAGATATATATCTCCATCAGTTCTTGTCCATATGATAGAACTATATTCAAAGAAAGAATCATTTGATTATATAAGCATTAAAAGTTCTAAATTCTGGGAAGCAGATATCACAAAACAAGAAGGAGACAGTGATGATAGCTCTTGTGACAATAACGAGGATTTCTATTTCACTCTAACTATTCATTCATTGGCTAGAGATATGATAAAAGGTTTTGAAAAAGTTCTAGAATCTTGTCAATTAATCACAACTCTTCACTTTGAATTTAGTGAAGATTTCACTGAAGATGGTTTATCATTCATGACATCATTAACAGCAATTTCTAAGCTTAAATCACTTAAAAACCTATATATTTCAAAGCCAAAATTTAAAAAGAAATTCTTTTTTGAACTTTTAAAATCTATTCCAAAGTCTATTAAAAAACTGGTATTAAATTCTTGTATTTTCAAATCAACAACATATTTTTTACTTTGTGATTTTGTTCAAGAAATGAGTTTTACTGATGAATTATCAATTATTGAACTTAATGTTGTTGGATGGATATTTGAAAAGAAAGAAAATTTCTACTCTATATCTTTTAAGAAACAGAGAGTGAAATTAAAAGTTGACAATTGTCCACCAAAACTAAAGAAGAAGAAGATACATTATAAATTCTATGAAAATATTCAACTTTTCTTCCTATCTTCAAAGCCAGCAATCACTACTGAATTTATTCCTTTTAATCATGAAGAATATGGTGGTAATCATTTCTATTTGAAAATAATTATGGACAAATTTCCAGATCACCTAAAATCAGATTCATTAGTTAGTGTTGACATTACTGGTTTACTAAATAATACTGATTGTTCAGTACTATCAAAACTACTCAAGAATATTGGTATGGTAAAAGAGGTTTTCTTAAGGGAACTTGAGAAAATTGATTCTGGCCTACAAATTATAACTGATGCAATGGTATTATCTTGTAACAATCTATCATCAGTTTCATTTGAAAATTGTGGAAATTCATACAATGATTACTATATGGAAATTGGAAAATTCTTAGGCAATTGTAAATTTCTTCAATACTTTAAACTTACTATTCCAGCTGAGTATAATAAAACTTATTATCATTTAAAAGTAATTACTGATGGTTTAAGGCAGTCAGCTGAGCATATTAGAGAAATTCATTTGTATTATCTCTCACTTACTGATGAGGATAGTTTTCATTTTGGTGAATTTATTAAAGTATGCTCATCATTAGAGAAGATAGATTTGGATGAAGTTACTTTTTTGGATTTATCATTTGAAAATGTTTTAATGGCTTTACAAGATTGTTCTCAAACATTATTCTCATTTAATTACACACCGAATTTAATAGATACTCAGCAAAAAGCCTTGGATGACTTGCAGAATAGTTCAGAGCGTATGAAAACAATAACAACTCTGTTAACCAATGATGATGACAATGAAATGGTTTAAATGAAACTTGGACACATCTATTTTTGAAAATGTGATGAATTCTTTCTGTCTTTGTAAGACTTATTATTTTATGATTTAGGTGGCTATTTTGCAAATTCTGTTGCATTTGTTTTGATTCTTTTATTTGGAGACATTTAACCAAATGCTTATACTATATCCATTCATACACAATGATGGATTGTAGAAATTGTGAAATTGAAATAGAAATAGGCCTATTCTTTCAATTAGTTCTATACTATGGAAACTTTGTGTCAACTTCATTAATATTTCGGAAAAGATACATCTATTTAAATACTTTTGGAAATTTATCATTTCATTTCGTCAGAAAAGAAGACTATTGAAATTTGGTTCATATATCTCCTGTCATGTGATTAAATAGAGGTTTTTTTTTTGCTTAGCTCAAGACTTTAACCTAACCTAATCCTAGGTTTCTCTTGTAAGACAACAATGAGGGTTTCATCTGAGGATTAGGGGGTCATGAAAAAGGTTAGGCAGGGTTAGGCTAAAACAAAACCTGAGTTCACTAATTGTACTTTGTTGTATTGTAATTGTAGGAATTTCTGGTTTGTCACAACTGTAATCGTCCATTCCAATCATTTACCAATTTACCAAAGTACTCACACAAAGAGAACCTTTCCAGTTCGTCCACAAATAGTCTAACATGGTATAGTATGGTTCCTCTGACATCCAATACTTTTGTTATTTAAATATTGGAATAGAATAGATCAAATTTCAAATCATCATTATTCACACTGTTTAATAGTTTGTATAGAATTTTGGATACAATTACTTTGTGTAAAGTATAATGTGTATTTGATAATTATTTTTGGTTTTATGACATTAACAATTTGACCTTGACCATTACTTTCAAAAACATTAAAATCTCCACTATTTAATTATTCATTGGTAGTTATTTCTTCTTTCTTAACAATAATTGGATTGATTAAGTATATCTTGAATATAGTTATCTATTCTTGGATTAATACAGTCACAAGTCATTATTAGTGTTATCATTAATGGCAACTATGGGATTGGTTTCCTGTTGGTTATTCCTATATGGATGTTGTCTGACTATCTGCACTGTGAAGGAGAATTTTCAAGAGATGATTGTAGCCACAGTCTTTGGACCATGAATCATGAATCTGCAAATCAATTATCATGAACTGCAAACTAGAAATCACAAAGTGTAAATTGTGACAGATCCCTGCAGAATTCAAAGATTCATACATTCATACTACTTGCACCAGTTTATTTTTGCCTTTCTGGGTGGAAGATTGATATTTCTAATTTTCTCGCTTGAGCTATTTTATTATGAGTGAATAGCTCTTGGTTTAGACCATCCAGACGGTTAGTCATTGATTGTTGATATCTTTCTCAATCATCACCCAAAGTTTATCATTTCTGGCTGATCTATTTCACATGAAAGTAAGGTTTTACCAGCCACTCTGCTACTTTCATAGATCTTTTCTATCTCTCCTGCTGCTATATACTCTAGGTAGGATGGTTTTGTGACTGTTATTGAGTAGATACAGCCACAGATCATCATTACAGTGATATTTTTGAAAACGCCCACTAACCTGTTGAAAACGCCTACTGTACTGATTGAAAACACCCAGTGGTGTTTAAAAACTGTATATAACTAATATTTCTGGCTTTTGTTTAAAGAACTTTTATTATAAATATAGTTATAAATCTTTATTTTAAAGATTATTTATTGTATTGAGACAGAGATTGTAAAAAATGATTGCTAAAACTCATAAATCAAATTCTTTCTTTTTTTAAAAGAATTCTTTTTTACCAGTTTTTTTTTTAAAGATAATCTTTTGTCATCCATAATTCTGCTTCCTCTCCAAATATTTAAAAAGATCTAATTTTTGTTTTTATATATTTTTGTGACTAATATTAGGTTTTTTAACATAAATAATGAATTAATTAATGTATGAATAGTTTAAGATTCATCCTAACTTGAAATTAAATAAAAAAAATTTATTATTTTAAGAAAATTGGATAATTTTGAAAATCATCCCGTTATTTCATGAAAGAAGAATGGTGTCATGTAATATTTGTAAAAATTTTATCAAAAGAAATAACACTGGTTTTAAATGCAATCTTTGTCATCATAATTACCACAAGAAGTGTGCTAATGGTTAGTTTCAGTAGTATTATTTTTCAAATATTTATAATTTACTTAAATGAGGTAATTTAAGAATGTCAGAATGGCATTTAAAAATAGTGTTGTACAAAATATGTGGTCAATAACATTCTTATTAAGCTGCAGAAAATGTCAATGTTAGCAATAATCCAAATGATTATCAAATACCATTTCATTATGATTTATATGTTGATCAGGAGATGGATATTGATAATTGTTCAATTGATATTGAAATTTAAGTGTTAGTAGTGATCCTAATTTTGAAGTTAATGATGTTGAAGAAAGCTCATTTGAAATAAAACCATCTAGTATTAAATTCTTTGATTCCTCCAAATTTAAAATTATAAAAAATGGTACTCAGAAAGTGTACACTTCAGTTTGATATAGATGCTCTTTTAGAAAACTGTAGACTTAACTCAATACTATTTAATATGAATACTTAACATTAGCATTGAGGGCTAGGTATGCACAATTCTATTATAAATATATGCTGCAATGCACATATGCATGTGAGCATATAAAATTCTTACAAATAAATCCAATGAATTTAGCATTAATTATAGAACTACATTAGCCTTACTTTAACCACTTAAGAACATTAATTTAGCCGCCAGCTAAAGAGTACCAAAACGTCAGACTCAACTATTGTTGACTTTGTTTTTCCAATTTCTCACATTCAATGGTTGAATTGAATGTTACAAAAATTGTTACATCTTATGAAAGAAGCTGACCATCTAAATTTATCTGACCTTATTACTCAGGATGAATGAAACCAATTAAAGGTGGAACCATTTTTAGAACTTTTAATTGTGTTAAAATGTTACTTTGCATTGTTCAAACTTTGGATACACATAAAAAATGAGCACATTGGACAAGGAATGAACAGAATAAATATCTTGTAACTGCTACTGATACTACAAAATGTTTGTATGAATTGGAAATATTGGCAAATAAAAGAAAATTTTATCATGCTAGCAGACTTAGATTAGCAAATAGACAACCAATAAGAATTAACACAGTTTGTTTAGAAAAGACAAAAAGAAATGGTGGAACACTACCTATCAGAGGATCACCTTACTAGCTTTATGTTGCTTAAGTTTGGTATATGGTGACACATCATTCACCAGAGCAAACATCACTGTAAGAATGTTGCCACCAGTACAATTTTGTAAGGGATAACAAGTACATCAGTCATATGATTTGGCTGATGAACTAGTATGTACCTTTGAAACTCAAGAAATGACCAAAATAATGGCAAATATTTATGAAATAAAAGCTGAAAAACTGGCTATTCAAGCAGATAAGTGTATGGTGAAAAGAAGAATCAACTTTTATACATATTACTTCTTTGGAGCAAAGAAGCACAGAATTGAAAAACAAACACTTACCTAGACTGAAAAGCAATGTAGAAAAATGCTTTATTCTAAGAAAACTCTTAATGGACAAAAACTTATTCAGAAAGGAAAACAAAGGACCATATTACAAATGGCCAAGAACAACAGTTATTGAAAAATTCACAACAATATTACAAATTGGTAAAGACTTTTGGCAACCTAGCCAAGACAAAATAACTACAAATCTGGAATAAATGTATATGGAAGACTGCTCTATAAAAGATAGATTCTATAGAACACTAGATTCAATTATCATATTTAATCCAACAAAAGGGCAACATCTCCTTGGTCATACCTCACCTTATAAAGTTGTGACAAGAGACATAGAATGTGTTAAACTAGGAGGATACTTTTCATGTCCAAACTATGCAATAATGGACCTCCCATATCAAGACAGATACATAAAAGGATTTGGTGGACCAGGAACAAGAGTATTAGTTCCACATAAAGCATTTGATTTATTAAGAACTGATCTCAAAGACTCTAACTATGTAAATAACATAATGTTACCAGAAAGGAAATATCAAGAACCTACACAAGAAAACACAATAACATGGACATCATTAGTCATTCTTAAGGTTCATCTTTAATTACCAGTTAAGGTTTGGCCAAGTTATAATTCAATTAGCCTTCTTAAGTGTTGAACCTTGTAACTTCCACTTTCTAAAGATAAATATGAACTAGACAGTTTGGCAAATGTCACGTGATAATTGGATATGAGAGGCAAACCTCAAAGTATTTAAACTGTCACTGTTGCTGTTGTTTACATCACTATTGAATAAAATGATAACCCTTGACCCTGTTTGTTGTGAACAATCCTTATTTGGAGTTAGAACCTTGTTGTTGATACCTAAAGCATAAACTAGTTTTGTTTTCTAGGAACCATATCCACAACATTCATTGTCCATAAATATTCAATACATTCCTCTGTATGAATTATATTGTTATTTCTATTACCGCAAAGAAAATACTCTTCCACTGCATCTGAACAAGGAGGGGAACAGACGTCTTTTGAAACAAATACAACATTTTTTCTGTCATGTATTTCTACATCATATGGAAAATAGAAAAATTTTTCCAAATGGAAACTGTAACGACATTTGTGAATCATGTGCTCAATTCGGTATCACTGGTGATAGGATGAGGTGTTTAAGATGCAGTCCAGGGTCTCTTACTTTAGACGATTTTACTTGTATAAGTAAGTCATATTTTCGTTTATTTTCTATATTTACAATTACTATACTAAAACTACAACAAAATTATAGAATGTCCACAAAATTGCAAGGTTTGCATACAGTCAGACCCTGGTATACAATGTACAGTATGTAATGAAGGATATGCTATTAAGGATGGTAAGTGTTCTCCTTGCGGAGAATACTGCAAAACTTGTACCTTTGACCATAATGGAAAAAGTATATGTATTAGCTGTCCAGTGAAATATGCTCTGGAAAAGGGTGTTTGTAAACCTTGTCCTTCATTCTGCAATATATGCCATTGGGATATTTTTACAGAACGCTTAAAATGTAGAGTTTGTCAAAACAAATTTACGGTTAACCAAAATGGAGCATGTGAACCATGCTCAGCCCATTGTTATTCCTGCAGAGATAATTTCTTTTGCAATGGCTGCGAAGATGGATATTCCGTATCATCGAATAAACGGTACTGTTTCCAGTGTCCTCACAAATGCAAAAGCTGTTCACCGGACATTCAGGATGTTATGAAATGTACTCAATGCAACGATGGATTTATACCCGTCTCTGGTCAGAAACTTTGCATAAAATGTCCGCCATTATGTACAGCTTGTCATTTTAATGGTAAAGAGACAATGTGTGATGACTGCAAAGAATATTACGTCAATAATCTTGCTGGAAAGTGCGTTAGATGCCCAAGCAATTGTGACATTTGTTCATGGGGAGGAAATAGTCCTAAATGTAGGCTTTGTGCAAAGGGATACAGCATTAATAGGGATGACATGACATGTATAAAATGCCCTTTCAACTGCAAAAAATGCATCAAGAGCAACAACAAGGGTATATGCCTACCATCTGAATGCTTTGAAGGTTTTGGATATGATGATGAAAGCGGCGTCTGTGTTTGTAAGTAAAAAGTCTTGTTATTATCTCTTGTATCTGTTTTAATGATACTTTTCTCTTCCAGTATGCGGTACTGGTTGCTTGCATTGTAAAATTCAGGGCATTCATAAGGAATGCATCATCTGTAAATCTGAATACAGTTTAACAGAAACCGGAAGTTGCATACCTTGCGTCTCTAACTGCAAAGTCTGCGATAGTAAAGGTCTATGTTTGAAAGATATGTGCGAAGAAGGGAAAACTTTAGATCATTCAGAGAAAGTCTGTCAAGTTTGTTCAAAACTGAATGAGCACTGTAACAAGTGTGTTATCATCAATTTTCTGAACAAATTAACAGAAATCTGCCTAGAATGTGAGAGTGGCTATCTCTTGAATGGTTTGAAAACTGATTGTCTACCTTGTAGTGGCCTTGATATTAACTGCGAAAAATGCAGTTTAAATGACGAAAAAACTGCTGTTGAAAGATGTCTTAGTTGCGGAAGTGGACGAAGTATTAAATCAGACGGAAAGGGTTGTTACAGCTGCTCAGATATTAATTGCTTAACATGCACTGAAAATAACTTTTGCTTGAACTGCAAACCTCGTTTTACAATTTCAGCTGCTGGAATTTGTTTACAGTGCTCAGTTGGAAATTGCGCAAATTGCTTGAAAGAATCTTATCAGACTCAATGCAGTTTGTGCAAAGACACTTTTACTAAATCTGACGATGGTACTAAATGTACATCTTGTACTCCAGATTGTGAACAATGCTCATTTGTTGATGAAGGTAAGACTGCCGGAAGTTGCCATCAATGTTCAACTGGTTTTGCAATAGATAAAGTAAACGATGTGTTTTGTTACGCCTGCAATTTGATTAATGAAAACTGTATTGAATGCGAAGATCGAGAGAAAAAATGTCGAACCTGCAAAAGTGGATTTGTGACGTCACTTGATGGTTTACAGTGTATATCTTGCCAAACTCACGTGACCGAAAATTGCTTGAAATGTTCGAATTCGAACACGAATGGAGTTTGTGATGAATGTGTTAAAGGATTTACACTTTCTGTTGATAAGAAGACATGCATAAATTGCGGTAAGATACCCAACTGCGAAGAATGTGATCTCGCCAATGAGCTAAATGAGGTAAAGTGCTTTAAATGTTCTACTTCCTACTCACCAAGTGTAACAAAGGCTGAATGCCTCAGCTGCAATTCAGCTTGTTTATCATGCATATTTACCAACACTGGCACTGAATGCAACCAATGCCAAAAGGGATATATCTTAAAACCGGATAAATCTGGTTGTTTGGAATGTCCACCTTCCTGTTCTAAATGCAGAGCGGCTAATAACTTTCAGGCTCATTGCATCAGGTTTGAATGCGCTCCTGGATACGGACTGTCAGACAATGAATTCGGCTGTAGTCCTTGTCAATTGAACTGTCAAAGGTGTATGAAGACTATATTCGGGGAAAGTATTTGTATAAAATGCTCCAATGGGTTCACGCTTAGTCCTGATTCAAAACAGTGTTTCGAATGTCCGCCTTCCTGCGTAAATTGCGTACTAAGAGGCACGGAAACGTTCTGTATAGCTACTGGATGTAAGGTGGGCTATATGACAAAATCGGACGGTACTTGCGGAAGTTGTGGAACATCTTGCGAGAAATGTTTTTCAACGAGAGACGGAAGTTTTGAATGTTCAAAATGTTTCTCAAAATTTACATTTGATTCGAATAGGAATTGTTTACCTTGCCCATTCAATTGTAAAACATGTGAATGGGATAGTATTGAATTCAGAACATTATGCAAAACCTGTGAAGATGGCTTTACATATTCTGTAGCTGACAATAAATGTTTCAAATGCGTTAGTCCTTGTCTGACGTGTTATAAAACTGGAACGGAAACATTCTGCAAAACCTGTAAATTGGGCTATTTCTTAAATCAACATAGCAAAACTTGCCTTCGTAAGCTTCTTTTTTTTACATTTTTCATTAACAAACTAAGTTGTTTCCATTAGCCTGTCAGAATGGATGCGTCCAATGTTCTAGTGTTTCCGGTAATACATTTGGCTCTAAATGTATTAAATGTATCAAAGGATTTTTACTAATTAATGGACAATGCACAGGTTGAGAAAATGATCTCTGTTCTTCTTACTTAATTTGATATTTTTTTTTTTAGAATGTCCTAGCAATTGCAATATTTGCAGTAAAAGTCTGGATATCATTAGCTGTTCATCAACCGGATGTTCAGCTGGATATGGATGGAAACGTTCTAACAATCTTTGTTATAAATGCCCTAAAAATTGTCATTCATGCTTCGAAGATAAAGCTGGATTGTTTACCTGCTCAAAATGTCTGGTTGGATAAAGAGAGGAGAATGAAGTTTGTACAGCCTGTCCACCAAATTGTAACAAATGCCAATTTTCAGGAAATGACCTGGTGTGCTATCAATGTAAACAAGGTTTTCACTTGATTAAAGGAGCTTGTGTAGTTTGCATAGGAAATTGCGAACATTGTACTCTGGCATCAGATTTTATAACAAAATGTACAAAATGTTTACCTGGTTATGATTTTAAGGAAAATCTTTGTGTTGGTAAGCAAAAACAGAACAAATCAAATTATACAACATTAGTGTCTACGTATTTTTTTTCTAATAGAATGTTCCACAATGACGTCATCGGAAGGATGTTCAAGTTGCTCAATAACAGATAATAAACCTACATGTACTCAATGTGTAAATGGTTATCTGTTGTCGAAAGGAAAATGTTGGCGTTGCTCAGAGAATAATTTCCGGCAATGTAAAAATTGCGTAATAAGAGGAACGTGTAACAAATGTTTTGAAGGATACGATCTATTTGATGGAAAATGTTCATGTAATAATGTCACATTAATATTTAGATTAATTTTATAACAGCTGTGACTTTTAACATTTTTAGCTACAGATATTAGACATAAGAATATAAAATGTTATGAATGTTTCGGTCCAGAGAGCGTTTGTGGCAGTGAATCAATATCTGAAGGGAGATATTGCTTTGCAGAAGCTGGTGAGCACTGCACAAAAACTGAACACAGATTTAAGGGCGTTACTACATATAAAAGAGGATGTTCATCTGAAGCCTGTCCACCGGAGACTGATGAATACTGCAGAGATTTAACCAAAGGAGAAAGCATCTATCAAAAATGTTGTCAAACTCAATTTTGTAACTCTGCGCCAAGTATTATTTTACATAGTCATCTGCTTTTTGTGTCATTTTTATCACTGTTTGCTGTTGTTTATTTAAGGCTATGAAGGACACCTTTAGGTTTTTTATTCATCAAAGATTATATTCCATGTACACAGTTCTATTTTTTGTTTATACAACCCTATAGTTATAGACAATTTTTACTAATTTCAAGCATGAAATATAACCGAAATTGCACATTACAATTGTTTAGATACAACATTGTACTGCTCTGGCTTGGCAAATTTAGGCATTTGCAAATTAGAACAATACTAATTCTACTGAAACCTTTAAACAAATGGTTTATTCAAAAAAAAAATACTTGAGCAAGTAGCAATATGAGAGTTCAATAGAGGAGTAGATAGTTTTCAATAGCAGGTTGCCAAACTACCAAAACCGTTTTCAAATTTTGAGCAGTAGATGGGTGGCTTATCATTAATGCTTTTTAATTGGCATAGATGAAAAAATTCAGGTTTTCCATCATTCTTTCTAATAGGATGAAGAAGATTAATTGTTGCTTTTCCAACACTTTTGTTAACTTTTTTAAAAATGATATATAATGAAAAGTTTCCATCTATAATTCCATTATTCAACAAGTTTAGATTTATGAAATTAGTTAATTGTTGTAAATTATTACAAGTGTTCAAATATTTATCCATGACGTAATTGTAATTTGTTTGGCAACTTCTCAAATTTGATGCAATTAGTTTCTTTCCATCTAAAATGACAATAAAATCAATATATACAGTACCGGCGGTAAGTCACTGTTACACCTCAAAAAAGTAATATTTTCTTGATTTTTCCTCTTTCCATGCCTAAAGACAAGCCTATGATAAAAGATAAGCAAAGAAGTGGTAGACAAAAAAAGTGACACCAAAGATGGAAAGGCAAATTACCAGGGCATAAAAATTTTACAGGGTGCCTGGGGACTTTTTGCCTATACTGTATATATAGATATATAGATATTTTTATTCCAAACCTAATCAATAATTTGAAAGTTATTGATGACGTCACTTCCATTATTTTTTAACATAATTTGTGTGAAATTATTATCTATATTATTCGCTTGTACAGCTGCCAAAGTGTTTTTTCCATAGATGTTACCAGATCCAAAATAGATTTTACCATTTAAAATTTCAAACCAATATTCATTCCATTGTTCGCATTTAATCAATGATTTTGACAATTTGAACTTGTTAATGGACAAGGTTTCCTCCTGCACTAGAAATAATAGATTTTCGCTGTTATTGCTCTCTTCTCTCATATCAATCTGTATTGAAAACTGTATTGATGACTCATTTTTAAAACTGATGATAAGTGATGAACAACTATTTCACGCCTGTTGTTTTTGACCTTGAACTTTAAATGATAATGCTCTAAAGTTGTTATGATATTTTTCTGGTATGTAATAGATGACGTAATCATCCGATTGAATAGAATAAATTTGCCCAAAAGTTCCTGAAAAGAATAGAATAATAGAGCAAAAAAAAATTGAATATCTTTAATACTTTTAGCATAAACTTGAAAAGCAGAAAGTCCAAGATAATTCCAGAACAATTCTCTGATAAATGCAAAATTCTACAATGTCATATAGCTTTTGAAAAGTAATATTAATCCATTGTAAACTGCAATGATTACTTGCACAGTGAGCAATCCACTCATTTCGATTCGTCCAGGGAGCATCCATTATATTTTCACAATAAAAAGTGAATAACGAATTGGTGTTAAGAACATTCGAAGTTGTACAAGTTGCATTATTTATTTTATCAGCAACGTTAATAAGCTGTCCACCTAGTTAAAAAATTTGAAATTTGAAAATACAAAAAAAAACACAACAACAATAATAAACACGACAAACTTGAAAACTTTTCTCCAAATGTAAATATTATATTTGAGTGGGAAATGATTGAAAATATGAATGGTAGTTTAAAAATCATGTTGACAGATTGTTTTGCAAAGAGGAGAAGGGAAAATATATATCACCAAGCAGAAATCAATAGAAAATAATCATGTAAATTGTTATCTGATATCAATATTTTTAGAACAAAACAAACTTTTTGTCTATTTTCTTGTTAATACTTAACAAATCAATAAAAAATAAACTGTCTTTTTAGAGAAATTTATCACAATTTTACTAATGTTATAATCTACTCCCTAATGACTTTTTTATAATACAAAAAAGGATTTTTATAATTAAAAAAATGTTTGATTAATTGTTTTCATTATTAAAGTATTGATAATTTCAAACATTTCATATAATTTGTATTCTAAATATTTACTGTTCCCATCCTAGTTCTTGGGAAACAGGAAGTACTAGGCTTTCTAAGAGGCAGTAGTCCTTATCCTAGACAGGAGGGCAGGCATTGAATGTAATGAAAAATGTATATTTATCTTACCATCTCCTAAGAGGCCTAGGAAACTTTCAAAAATAAATTCCATTTGACATTTTCCTTTCAAATATCAAAATTAAACAGGAATTTAGGTTAGGAAAAAAAGTAAAGAACATTAAAATGTTGCTTTGAAAACGAGATATAAACTGGGATATAGAATTTGAAAAAGTATAAAAATCAACCAAGGAAAGGAATTTTTTATTAGAAATGGAAGGTTTGATATTTGTTGGGGTTAACTCAAATATTATTTGCTTGGCTTGTGATAGTGTTTCTTGTATCTTTGTTAACAGTTTCTCAGATAGAGAAAGTTCTTTATTTACATTGTCAGAAGTTGAACAATGAATTTAAACTGACAATGAGATACTGCTCAAAGAATTCATTGAATGGTCGAGTCCATTATAAATATTCAATTTTCCTGATTAAACTCTTCTAATTTAAATCCTTCTTTTTTATCATATTGAACATTCAAGGGGTAAACCATTCAAAGCAGTGTCTGAATAACAATAATTCCTTAAAAGGCACATATTTGGATCAGTTTGAATACTGTAAATAGGTTGATCTTCGTAAGCTATAGAATCGAATTTGAATAATCTCCAGAAAATTGGCACAAGTACAGCTTTCTTGAATGGTATTTCAAAATACTCTATGATGATTATGATTTCAACAGTAGTACATCAAATGTAATTAACTCTCACAGCTCCCACAGTTAAAGCAGTGCCTCTGGCAAACAGTAGTAAATTAACGATATAAAATGCTATCTACTTTGCTTACTTGCCTACCTTTATTTGGTAGAATTAGATTCTAGAACTTTAAAAAGACTTTTATGTCGTAGGAAGTAGATTCTTTGACCATAACAGATGGTGCCACTAGAGAATTAACAAAGCAGCAAATGTAAATGATTGGAAAGGACGATTACAGTTGTGACAAACCAGAAATTCCTACAATTCCAATACAACAAAGTACGGATGCGACAGAAAACGTCCACAAAATGGTGCTTTTACCCTAACCCTAACCCAACCCTTAGCTGTAGCTAGCCTTTTCCATTAGCACTAGCCTTTAGGGGAGACCCTCCTAAGAACAAATCAGTTGTTGTTTTCTTATGCCTAACCATTTCTCAATCCAAAAACTTGTCTTGAAATTTCTCATTTGTGGACATTTTCTGTCAACCCCACAAAGTACAGTATCTCCTACTAAGTAAGATGCAACAATTTTGACAAGCATCTTTTCAATGTTCTTTGTTCCATTTCCAAACCATAACAGCTTCATCTGTTGTGGCCAAAAAGTCTAATTCTCACAAAATAGATTTCTTTCTAAAGTACTATCATTCTAATTTCGCAAAAAAAAGAAGGTACACTCAGCAATAATAATAAATATACACTATTTAACTTTAGATGTGAAAGGAACTTTGGAAACCTTCTTATTTTATAGGAATTAGAATGATGGAATTTTATAAAGACTTTTATTTTTGGAATATGAATTAAAGAACTTTCTATTATACATGGAGTTACTATAGAAATGGTAAAAGCAGAATGCACTTTAAACAGTTATATACCAAAGTTGTTCTATTTTACTTATTGCCAGATATTGATAAGGCAATTGTGCTGTGTAACAGCATATACTTGTCTTGTAGCCTTTCATTAGGGATTATATTTTGGACATATCATATATTGTTTTCTCTATTTTGTGACATTCATATCTTCCAGTACTGAACAATGTTTAAATATTTCTCCTAAATTTTTATATTGTTCTTCATTCAACTTACACAAATTAAAGTTGACTTTCTTCAAACAGTTTGAAGAAGATTTGAGTCCATCACATATCACTTTCAACCCATTCCATGTCATGTTACTGCATGTTAACTT